GCATCCCCATAGTAGCATAAGAGTGATTTACCTTGGGCAATTTCCCTACCATTTAGTAAGCCCAGATTCCTTTATTTAGCTTATTATGTGAGTTTCCTCTTCACTTTATGGTGAATCTGTAATGACTTACAAAGTGCCTACCACATCAAAAGACCCTCCATAAACTGAAATCGAATATTATTCATTCCATGTTAGTTCATTTTTCCTGTCACTGTTAAGAAGAATGATGTGTGGCAAGCTCTATTCTTTCAATAAGTTCTGGCAGCTCAATGATTTTACCACTTCAGCTCTAGGCACATGCAGAATAGCTATGAATGGCAAAGTTCAATCTGCTAGACCAGCTTCAAATACCCAACACCAAACCTGACAAAACTCAATGGAGAGATTTCTGGAATGGGCCATGGGCCTCAGTGAACCCAGCACAGACAGTAGCAGTACAGTGACAGCTGTCACAAATGTGCTCAACTAACTACAGAGCAGCACAAAGACTTCCAGAGAGACCTCCTTCCCCCCAAAATATACCTTCCCTTTACTCTCTTCTGTCCTATCTCCACAGATATAACTGTGTAGTAAAAACTGAACTCTGTTAAATGAAGACTCTGGTCATTTTCATATGGTAATTCCTCTCTGGAGAGTAGTGCCTTCCTTCTAACCTCCCACAATGATACACATTCTTTTGCAACCAAGTCTTTCTCACTAGACTTTGAGCTCTTTATTATTTTTTGGGGGGGGTTGACTTTGAGCTTCTTAAGGACAAGAATTCTGTCTTCTCAGGGCTGGAGAGATGACTCAGCAGTTAACAGTGCTAGTTGCTCTTGCAGAGGATCCAGGTTCAATTCCCAGCACCCAATGGCAGCTAACAACCATCCATAACTCCAGTTCCAAGGGATCCAACTCCCTCTTCTATCCTCCATGGGCATTGCATGGCACAGGAGCCCTTACATACGTGCACACAAAATGCTCATACACATAAAATAAAAATAAATAAATCTGGGGCTGGAGAGATGGCTCAGTGGTTAAGAGCACAAGCTGCTCTTGCAGAGGACCCAGGTTTGGTTCCCAGCACCCACATGGTGGCTAACAACCATCTGTAACTCCAATTCCAGAGGATCTGATGCCCTCCTCTGACCCCCTTGGGCAATGCACGACACAGGCGCACTTACACACATGCAGGCAATGCATTCATAAAATAAAAATAAAAAATCCAAAAGAGTTTTTTAAATCTTAAAAAAATTACAATTTTATTTATTTTGTATGACGGGGGCACATACATACCATAGCACATGTGAAGATCAGAGGATAACTTGTGGGAGTTGGTTCTTTCCTTCTACCATGTGGGTCCCCCAGGATTGAACTTGGGCCATCAGGCTTGGTAGCAAACACCTTTACCTGCTGAACCATCTTGCTGACCCAAGGATATTATTAATACTTCATCTATGCAGAATAATGTTGGGGGCTAGACCATTCACCTTGCCTTTGGGGGATATGATTGGCCAGCTCTGAGTAAGAGACTCTGCCATGGGCCTTATATCCCCCAAAATGTCCTATGTGGAAGCCCAGGGCTCCTCCTGCTCCTTCCTTGGTTCAATCCAGGCCTCTTAACCCCCATGAAGCTGAACTAATCCCTCTGTGAATGCCATGGTTCATTCCCTATCCCATCCCCAGTGCTGTGGGGAAAAGTGAGCTACTGGTACCGTCACACATCTAACCCAGGGAATGAGCCCAGGTAGATGTCAGGCCAGGTGTGCACAACCAAACTCTGCCCCTAACCCTCCCAGCATACTCCAGTTTGGTGCTGTATATAGCTGTTCACAGCACAGCTGGCCCTTGCTTGGCCAACATGTAGAGTCAAGGTCCCTACTACACAGGGCGTGGGCTGGGCATGGGGTAGTATCAGAGACTGTCCAACAACAGTGTCCTCGTCATAGACACAGGGAAAGGAACTCTCATGCCTTGGGATGATGTGAAAGCCCAGAGAAGGGCGGGGTGGCATGGATGACGGAAGAGCAGAAAGAGCCCTGGGGGTGAGGAACTGATTATGAAACAAAGCCCACTGGTAGTGATACACACTCATAATTGTAATCCCAGCACTCAGGACATTGAGGCAGGAGGATCACAAGTTCGAGCCTACCTTGGCTACATAATGAGACCCTGTCTCACAAAACAAATAAACAAGGACTAGAGAGATGGCTCAGGGGTTAAGAGCACTGGCTGCTCTTGCAGAGGATGCAGGTTTGGTTCCCAGCACCGACATAGCAGCTAAAAAACATCAGTTACTCCAGTTCCAGGGGATCCAACACCCTCTTTTGGCCTCTTCTGGCCTCTTCCAGCATTGTATGCATGTGGTACACTTACACATATGCAGGCAAAACACTCATATACACAAAATAAAAATAAATAAAAATATTTTTTTAAAAACCCTCTGGGTGTGGTGGTGAATACTTTTTAATTCTAGCACTGAGAAGGTAGAGGTAGGAAGATCAGGAGTTCAAGGTCATCCTTGGCTACATAGTGAGTGAGTTTAAGGCCAATCTGGGCTACACCCGTCCTTGCCTCCTATCAAGAAAAAGAGCAAGCGCTCTACCAATGAGCTACACCCCCAGGCCAGATCTGCTTCTCCATCCTTAATAAGCACACCTCAACCATAAGCAACTCTTACCCACTCCAGCTTAAGAATCATTAGGGAGAGGCTAGAGAGATGGCTCAGCAGTTAAGAGCACTGATTGCTATTGCAGAGAGCCTGGGTTCAATTCCTAGCATCCACATGGCAGCTAACAACCGTCCATTAACTCCAGTTCCATGGGATCCAATACCTTCTTCTAACCTCCTCAGGCATTGGCACTATACGACTTGGGTGCACTTACACACATGCAGGAAATATACTCATATCCATAAAATAAAAATACTAAATTTTTGTTGTTGTTGTTAAGAAAAAGGAATCACAGGGCTGGAAAGATGGCTCAGCAGTTAAGAACATTGGTTGTTCTTGCAGAAGACCCAGTTTCGAATTCTAGCACCCACATGGCAGCTAACAAATGTCCATAACTCCAGTTCCAGGGCATCTGATGGCCTCTTCTGTCCTCCACGGGCATTACATGACAAAGGTGCACTTACCTACATGCAGGCAATACACTCATACACATAAAAAATAAAAAGAATCACTATGTAGATGCAGCCTAAAGCCCATACCTGGGAGAGAGAGGGAAATGGGTTCAGAGAAACTGTACAACTCATTCAAGATCACACAGCCACAGTGTAGAGCCAAGGAGAGAATCTAAGACTCCGACTGCATGTGCTCTCTCCCCTACCCAAGGGTGCTGTCACACAAGGGTCAGTCTCTCTAATACCCAGTGTGAGGGCACTCAATGGTGCTTTGTTTTGTTTTGTTTGAGACAAGGTCTCATGTATCCCAGGCTGGCATGGAAATCTTTAAGTAGCCAACACTGACCGTGAATTCCTGACCCTCCTGATTCCATGTCCCAAATGCGGGGATTAAAGGCATGTGCCACCACACCCAACTTGGTACTTCATGTTTCTGAAGGACTGAACAAATTTACGTCTGTTGAAGTTTTTCCTCCATAATGGCTCAGAAAGGGGATTTTTTGGTTTAAATAAAAATTAAAAAAAATTAAAAAAAAAAAAAACTGGACTCACTTATTGTCTCCAAGAGTAGCATCTGTCCCATAACCTCCCAAAATAACTGCAGTTTGCTCTGGGGCTCAAGCAGCAAAAAGTTTTGCTCAGAGCCAGCGGAATCTCAAGTCTCAGGAAGTGTCTTCAGTGGGGTGTGGATCACAGCTGTGTGGGAGGCGGTCTCAAGCCCACAGCTGACTCCTGTAATTTCTCTGCTCTTACACAGAACAATTCAAGACTGTTCTTTGCCTGTTATTTTAATTTGTGAAGGATTCTTCCATTCTCTAAGGGGGCTGGGATTCTGGCAAGTGGGAGCTGAGGACTCTGGAGCTGGTCCTGGTGGGACCAAGGGGCCCAGAAGTAGTTTTCTCTCTCTCTCTCTCTCTCTCTCTCTCTCTCTCTCTCTCTCTCTCCTCCCACACCCACACCCTACTCTGCTCCATGACCTCTTTAGGTCCCCACCACCAGTCATGAGACAAATCATGCCCCTTATGCCTGCTCTCAACCTTCAGGGTCTCCCCCAAAGAAGTTTCTGCGTTCTATAAGTTGGCTCCACTCCTGGGACCCCAGATCCCCACACTGTCTCAACAAATGTCCTCCACCACACACTGGCCACTTTACTATTCCCTAAACATATCAAGCCCAGCCCACCTCAGGGCCTTTGGACTTGATGTTCCCTCTACCTGCCACCCTCATCCCTTAAACTGTGCATGGCTTGCCAATTCATTTATCTCAGGGCCTATTAAAATGTCACCTCTCCTGAGATGCCCTCCCTGACCACCCTATCTTTTTAAAAAATGTATTTATTTTCATTTTTTGTGTATGATTATTTTACCTACATGTATGTAAGCAATGCTCAAGGAGGTCAGAAGAGATCTTTGGATCTCCTGGAACTGGAATTACAGATGGTTAGCCACTATGTGGGGTGCTGGGAACCAAACCCCAGTCCTCTGCAAGAGCAGCCAGTGCTTTAACCACTGAGCCATCTCTCCAGCCCCTTGACTACCCTACCTGCTTCCATCTTCTTTATACCACAAGCCCTGCTTC